CAAGTACATACAACCAATTACATTTCAGTATGCCACCGGGAATGAAAAACGAAGTGATCGCCGCGGCCGCACTATAGGATGGTGGTTGAGGTGATGTGGATATGTCGGGTAGTATTATCGGGCTTTGTCGGCCAAGACAGGAATGAGGCGTAGGTGACTAGATCGTCAGGCTTTTGCGGTTATCACGTAATGACCATGTGAATCAGTTTCCCGAGTTGGTCAAAAACAGCTGGACGATCCACCCGGTCTGCGTACCTCCGAACTGCTATAGTGATGGGTTGATTCCATTAAATCTAACTCTTGATTGATTTCTAGAACTGGGCTCCAAAAGAAGCTGGAATGTAAAAACCATCTCATTCGGGAGACAAGGGTATGTCAAATGGTTACCCGCTGAAGCCACACGTGGGGAAATTAGAAAAAAAAAGAAAGAAAAAAAAAGAAGAAGAAGAAGAAAAACCGCTTTCTGCTTTGCAAAGTTGCCAGGAGAATTGACAGGATAGCTTTACAACCAGCACCCGTAGCTGAGCACTGCCTTTGCATAGTCAGACTCAAAGCATGACCTCGACCAAGCCACCAAGGTAATCGCGCTTGCCATGGCTGGCAGTTAGATAGTGCGGTTATGGTGATTGCACCCATGAGGTTATGAATGAACTAACAGTGCTTGCCACGGGGCTACTGACGAAAGCTGCCAGGAAGTAATTGGGCTAGATTAAACGTCAATATGGCATTTCTTGTCACGGAAAAATGACGACGCTAATTAAGGACAATAATCAACCCTTTGTAAACCACGTTGCATGAATACATGTTCCACCTAATTTTATAATACCACTGGCATTGCTCTTTAGAAAAGACCTCGTATTCAACTTGATCCCGGAAAATACCAAATGGCCAGTTACGTCAATGTCATACCCTTGCAGTCATTGGTCCTTGGCCCTTCATACAGCCAGTGACCAACGAAAATCACTATCTTGGACGACTTCAGGGAGGTCTTTTCGTCAGATAGAGATATGCAGTGTGTTGAACATCGACTTGACGATCTATTTCAGATGATAGATACGGCAGCTAAAGTATATGAACGTCTCGACTCTTTCGTTGGGCCAAACGTTAGACTAACCATTTCCCCACTGCCTAAGTCATTTCTCTAGACTAGTCTGTCCAAAAACACGGCTTTATAGTAACCCAGAAATCAGCTGTTATTTGAGAAGTCAATTTGTTACATGAGCTGCTGCCTCTAATCATAGCTATTGTTACTAGCATTGTGTCAGCCTAGTTTGCCCACCGAGACAGTGAATGTCAGATTTCATAAGTGTATGTGAAAGAGACAATTATAGACCAAAATTAATTTGAAACTTGTCATCGTGAAGGAAATTTTGCTTTTGCTTCATAAGACTAAATGTATTCGAAGCGTCATACTTATTCGCAGGCTGTTGATGTAGATGTAGGCTTTAATCTCGTCGAACGACACAACTGCACGCAGCCTAGAGGTTGAGTGACAAACGTGCTTCAAGATCTCTCTCGCAAGTTTGAAGAGCCGTTCCTTTGACCATATCATTAAACATATTAGAGCCAGGGGTTTGGGGGAGGGGGTTGTTATCGGCAGCTACAAGCTGATGAGTGCATGGATATGTATGTCAGATCAGTTGTCCATTCCGGACGCCTTTCCGGGGAGATACTCTCAATATCTTAGCTATCCACTTCGCCACTCTAAGATATCGAGTCGCTCCACGTATTATTTGTTTCGCCCCATGATTCCTTATGAACACGCCATTCGTCTTGAGAATAAGCCTTAGTTTGTCACGAGTCAGCCTGTTTTCACCAATATTGAGTATCAACTTCCAATGAGGATACTCTTACTGAGGACGGATTGCTTGGCAACGACGAGGTTCCCTCCCCGCACTAAGCCGGCAGCTGAGCGGGTCTTGAACCGTTGGGGCCCCGCGGGCATCCAATTGGAGTCGCCGTCAGGCATCGACATGCGATGACGCGATCGCACGGCGTAAATCCGCAATCACCATACGTGCCACTCTAAACGCTTTTGCAGGGCGAAAAAAAAGTGTACGGCAGGAGTTTTCTAGCCGTTCTGGCACAGCTCTTTTCTCGCGGCAATGCATGTGCGAGGGTACCGACCCGCTGTATTGGGTCCAGCGCCTCGGGATGTTTAAAAACCTTTGCCAACTCCCAAACCCACTCGTCAACAACACCGAAGGCCGTGCTAGTTCGATCTCCGGGAACTTGGAGGCGATTGGTAAGAGACTTGCCGACGGGGTCAACCAAAGCAAATCACCATTGCCGTCTGCTTCTCCAACTTTCGCTCCAGGGTTACGATGTCTCGGTATCGAGCCTACGACAAGGATGACGATGACGTCCCTGTCATCGAGGACACGGGTGTCCGCGGCGCGTACGGGCAAGAGCAGAACTCGACCGATGCCGACTTCTCCGCGTTTGACCCGCACAGTGGCGTCAAGCGAGGCCTGAAGACACGGCACCTCAGCATGATGGCCCTGGCAGGCATCATCGGGCCCGGCCTGCTCATCGGCGCGGGAGGTGCTCTCTCCAACGGTGGCCCGGCAGCTTTACTCATCGGGTTTGGCGTCATCGGAATCATTGCCTTCAGCATCATGCAGAGTCTCGGCGAGCTCACCACCTTGTACCCCACCGGAGGTGCATTCACAGGACTGGCAGATCGTTTCGTCGATAAGGGCTTCGCCGTTGCTCTGGGATGGAACTATTTCATCATCTGGATGTGCGTCTTGGCCAACGAGTACAACGTGCTCTCCAGCATCTTCGTTTTTTGGAGTGATAAAGTCCCCTTGTGGGGATACTTCCTGATATTCTGGGTATGTCGCTCTGAACAAGTTTTGACAAGAGTGAATGACTAATAACATATCAGACTGTCTTCCTCGGGTTTCAACTGCTAGGAATCGAGGCTTTTGGAGAGGCCGAGTTCTGGTTGGCTTTGCTGAAGCTCATCGGCTTAGTTGCTTACTTTCTTTTTTCCATCATGTAAGTGCTTATCAACGAAACCTGGTCCACCGTCCCGTTCTGACCATTTCCCAGCTATGCTGCTGGAGGAGTCCATGGGCAAGATGCCCTTGGTTTCCGATACTGGCGCGACCCTGGCGCGTTCACGGATGGGTTTCGTGGCGTCGCCAAAGTGTTCGTCTTCTGCTCAACCTTTTACGCCGGGGTCGAGTCCGTCGCAGTCGCCGCCACCGAGACCAAGAATCCGCGCGTCGCCGTGCCGCTTGCCATCCGTCAGGTGTTCTGGCGCATCATCCTCATCTACATGGGCTCTGCCTTCTTCTTCGGTCTCACCTGCCCCGCCAACGCCGACGAGCTTGTCAATGGAGGGTCTAGGGCAGTCAAGAGCCCCATGACGGTTGCCATTCAGAACGCCGGATGGGAGGGCGGCGTACACCTTATCAACGCCTTTATCGCCGTGACATGTCTGTCAGCCGTCAACTCGTCCATATTCATTGGCTCGCGCACTCTCTTGTACATGGGCCAAGACGGAAAGGCACCAAAGATCCTGGGGAAAACCGATAGCCGCGGCGTGCCCGTCCCGGCCATCGTCTTCACCAACCTCTGCGGCGCCTTGTCCATGATGAACATCAGCACGGGCGCCAGCAAGGCCTACTCCTACATTGTCAACCTTAGCGGCGTCTCGACTTTCCTTGTCTGGGGATCTATTTCGTTCATCCACATCCGGTTCCGACAAGCATGGAAAGCCCAGGGTCACGACGAAAGCTCTCTTCCATTCATATCGCTGTGGTATCCATGGAACGCCTACTTTGGTCTGGCAGCCAACGTCTTCTTAGCCATCGTGCAGGGCTGGACGACCCTGGCGCCTTTCGATGCCGGGTCGTTCGTCGACGCCTACATCTTGTTGCCTCTGTTCCCGATGATATGGTTCGGGTACAAATTCTGGTTCAAGACACATTTTTGGCGAGTGAGTGAGATCGATCTGCTCTCCGGTCGGCGGAGGGATCTCGACGAGTTCCGGGAGATTGAGACCGGCGAGCATGATTTCGATAAGCTCCCGCGGTGGAGAAGGCTTCTGAAAAACTTCTGAATCAGCATTCACTAGGTGACGTAGCATACATAGTATGGTACCGGCATGCATGGGACAGTTGCCGTTTCTTGCTGGCCGCGATATCAGAGTTGAGCCTAGCCGTTAATCAAACATAACGCCCCGAATGCCGACGCCTCGAAGGATTCGATGCAATCCGAAAGCGGCGTCGTGATTGCACATCTATCAATGATGCTGCCATTGATGCACCCATTCCGAGGCACGTGTACTCACTTACAGGCGACGTCGTCCCAACTTTCCGCTGGCCACTGGAGCCGAGTGGATGGCCCGGTCCCCTTCGCATTCGCAAGCCCTCGTGCATATGCGCTCTGTGTGCGCCCGTCGCACTCGTCTATGCACATTAGCTCAGATGAGAGCAGAAAAGGGGTCAAAAGGTTTGAAGTCTCTTCTCGTTACATCTGCCCGTTGATTGGTTCTGTCTGCGTACCATATCCAATCTCCAATGCCTCTCTTGGCATGGGATTCGTCAAAAAATTGAACCTCTTTCCCATTCCCACCTTCATCAAAGCTGGGCATATACGATTTACCCCCATGAAAATCGACGGCGCTTGCGTTCGCAATGGGTTCTGTGTCAGTGGTATTGACCATGTCAAACTATCTGAGCAGTACACAGAATCCCCAGATACAGAAGTCTCCTGAAGATATCATCCGCACTCTTCAGCTTCAACTTGCACAGCGTGCGAACGGGGGGAGAGGGTTGGCGTCGACGAGCTATCGATACCTCAGGGACAAACGAAAAGCGCCGCACGAAGACCCGATTTGGGATAACAATGTCGGCGGACTCAACCCCGGGGGAGAAGAATCGCAAACTGTAAAAAGACGAGGAAATCGGTTTACGGACCACGCCGGCGAACTACGGCAGTACCTGGATGTTCTACAACAACATGAGGCCAAGCCATACATGCTCGCCCCATCGCCGCCGCCATCGCCGCCGCCATCGCCGCCGCCGCCCAACGCGGTGTCTTTAATGCGGTTGCCGAGCCCCGTCATCATCCCCCAACGGCGCATCACGAACCGCACGCGAGGATTCGTCTGCAATTATTCGTCGTCCTTACGCAATGCCGGTATAGACGAAAAAGCATTCTCGACTTTCATCAATCAGCTCAACAGGTTAGCCGAGCTCAAACCTCGTGCCCAAGCTATCGACTTTAGCGGATTCGCACACTTGTGCTATAATACGCATTACGACATTTTTATCTCCATGGCAGTTGGAACGGCTTTTGAGACTGCCAAGGGCATCCAACATAGCACGGCTATGAATAAGCTCATAGACAAGACGAACGACGAACTCTTTAAGCCGAAGGGACTTGTATGCCTTCTGATGACTTGGGAATCCGAAGGTCCGGAAGGCTCTTCCTTGGATCGTTCATTTAGGTCAAGGCCAGTGCAGCGGGTAAGGAACGAGCGAAGAGGCATGGAAACACGGCCGAAGGCAAATCTCAGCCCGCTCCAAGGGATGGGGATGTTCGAATGGCTTCAGCCCACCACATTCAAACGCATCGACGGAGATGCGAATGTCTTGCCAGAGACGCAAATCTCAGTAACCTGCAACCAGTATCCCTTGCAGATTGGCGGCACACAATTCATTGACAGCCGAACGAATCAATGTCTTGCCGTACATCATCACCTGGAGCACCGCCGTGGATCCCAGGTCGCAACGGTAAACATAGGGGTTACGGCTCACGCACAGGAAGCGATACCGTTCCCACTAGCAGAGATCACAGGCCAGTCCCAGGGCCAGATCTCCTTGAACAACTTGGGCAGGTGTTCAGCCTTGGAGGAGAAGAGAGATGCCAAGGAGGAACAGAACGGGGACCGCTACTTACGCAAAGACCTTAACGATATGGATCCTTTCAACATTACGCCGACGCCTTCATTCACTACCGGCGCCTTAAAGGCTTTAGAGACAGTACGTTGAACGCAGTCCAGCTTGTCTAGCTTGCTAACGAGGACTTGTAGGAAACCCTATATGTACTGATTGCCAATATGCCCGATGATGATGAAACACAAAGAGATACGGTTTACTGACCATAAAGCCGATCGAGCCGGTTGAACATGATGCAACCGTTTAATGTTGTCTCGAAGTATGGAGTTATAGCATCATTTGTCAACATTTGTCAACATTAGAGAGGCAGGTTATGACCGTACATGAAATAATGGATATAACAAGCACTTTTCATCTTCGAATGTTTGGCTCTTTATCTGAAAGCCGTTAGAAACCAGATGGTTGACCATGTCTTACAAAAGAAGCTATTTTGACGTATCGAACAGGCTTCGACAGACTAAACTACCGCAATCATGAATCCTGAAACAGCCGAAAATATAACCAAGGTTGTAGGTCAGGCTATAAAAATAGAGCAATCTTTGAGTGCTGTAGTGTCAAATGAAAGGTTACAAGAAACACGTGATGCGAAGATGATAACAAGGTTACATACTGAAAAAGAGTTCTAGAGACTACCGTGATATTGGTAACATTATATTTACACATTTCCATAGGAATCTGGACCGATCACGTACTCATAACTCTGGTAATCGTCTCCAATTAATCGTTCTTATGAAACTTGAACTCCTTGTAGATTCTTCATGGTATTAAATCCATAGCGTCAAGTAATTCTTGCGCTGATAGACAAAACAACACAAGAACAAATATTTCACTAGCAAATGAAATACTGCTTCTAGCCTTCTCTGCTCGGACATATTCGTCTTTGGAGACCCCAAAGCCATCATTTTCTCTTCTCGGTGATTCCTAGGGCCACCCCAAGAGCATCCTCAAACTGATCCCAGGTTGCCGGGTCCTGATCTGAAGGGAATGCCCGGAAGTGGTGTTTCACCCAATTATAAAATTCATGTGGATCATCTCGGTTTCCTTCCAACTCAAGGTGATTTACAATATCGTTCAAAAACTGATCTCGCCAAATATTTGATTCCGTTGTAAATAGCTTATTGACACAACGGCTGGCCACCGCTTCGTAGATGAAATCCGATGTCGGAAGATCGTCGTGGTCGCAGATCTGGAGTCCCTGAGCAAGTCTTGCGCGGAAGAGCTGGCACTGGAACTTCTGGCCCTGTTGCTGTAGGTGAAACATGACGCGGTGGTACAGCTGGAAAGGTGTGATGTCGTAGTCGGCAAGGATTCGGTCCTCGCCCTCAGTCTCCGTGAGACCCAGGAGCCCATAGACCCGACCCCTAGGGTCTGTGCAATGGTAGTCTTTCGAGAAGACCAGCAGCCTGGTGAGGCGCGGCCGCGCCCCTAGCGTGTCGGTGAAGGAGAGGCGTTTCGGGTCGGTCTGCCAGGACCTTCGCAACCTCGACAGCTCCCTGCAGCTCCCGACGTGCTTCTCGATGCTATGGTGGGTTTCTTGCTTCGACAGGTGCTTGAACCATAGGTTCGTCTGCTGTGAGATGCCAAAGGGACGGAACTGCTGCAGGGCTGCCTAGGAGATGGCCGACGGCCCGCAAAGCACCCACGACTCCCTCGCCAGCGCGAACTCCTGTACGACCCAGATCCTCGACCAGTACGACCGCGTGACAAACCACTTTGCGTCCTTGAAGCCGAACTTGCGCTTCTGGGAGCGCAGGTATTGGTTTCTCTCGCGCCTAGCCGTGTGTTTCAGCCCTCGCAGGTAGTCGAAGAGCAGGCCAACGTTGCCTTCCTCCAGTCCGATCCAAGCAATGACAAGGTGAGCCGTAGAGAAGATGTCTTTCATGAGGCCGACTTGATGGCCGCGCTCCGCGGTGTCGTCTTGATTGACTCAGATTGCATCGATCCAGAGATACTGCGGCAGCTTCGTGCTGGACTTCTTCTGCTCCGAAATGCAATTCTTCCTCTTGCTTGCGATGTGAACCAACTGCCCAAGGGCGTGCCAGAGGTTCTCTCGAACCCGAAACTTTGCGTCATTGATCTCAATTTCGTGACATGGGTCCGGGGCCCCCCCAGACATAAGACAACGCAATGAAATGAGGCGCGTCGTCAAGTGAATGAATGGGTGGTGAGCGTACAACGAAGGGTCTCGTTCTCTTTTGGGGGCTGAAACCTCAATAGTCTGATTGACCTCGTGTCGCGGTCCAACGCCGCATAAAGGCCTTCTAGGGCGGACATCGTCCGGCATGCCTCAAGGTTTCGACTGACAGTTTGACAGTTCCGATCAAGATATTAGCACAGACGGCGGCGCGTGCGCTGTCGCAACTGACCGTGGTGGTTGCTATCCAAGCGCAACTTGGAGAGAATGCGCGGCAGAGTGTTGCGCTTTCGGGTTGCCCATGCACATGAGCGGATTTGCTCATCCCGCCATTACCTAGCGCTGATTCGGTTGTCTCTGGAGTGATGCAGCGGGAGAAAGGCCTCAATGTGAAATCGGCTGCGAGCGGGGAGACTGCCTTGTATCTTGGATCCTTCAGTATAGCAGCTAGGCTCTCTCTGGCACGAGCAACTCTCTTACCATGCGACCAGCCAATAACATTTCAGTGCAGCAAGTAACATTTCATCATCATGGGTGTACAAATACAGCATGAGCTCAGTCACATAGTTTGTCACGCAGGCGCCATATGGCAGCCTTCCATAGTTTAATACGGATAAACGAATGTGATTATTGCTAGGTGCCTCTTGGGGAGAGGGGGAACTTAGGCCCGGCACATCTTTCCATTGGGTGCAACATCCCACGCCTCGCTTCCCACACCCTTGAGCACATAGAAGAGCGACTCAGGGTCATACTTCTTCTTGATGGTCAGCAACTTCGCGTAGTTGTCACCGAAGAAGGCGTTCTGCCAGTCCGGCTGCCTGAAGTCGGCCTCATTCATGTACGAGGCGCTCCCGGGCGTCACGGACTGGATGAGCGGCATGAACTGCTCCGTCATGCGCTTTTGCGAATCCTGCATTTCGGCCCACGGCGCCGCGTCATCCCACTGGGTGATCAGCTGGAGCTGCATGACGGCCTTGCGCCACGCAGGGTGTACCGAGTTGTCGGGGGCGCCGGCCGGCTTGTTGTACTGGGCAACGCTGCCGGCGAGGAGAACGCCGTTGGCAGTGAGGTTTCTGACGACCACCTGGTACGCCTCGTTGTCGTTCTCGATGACCTCGCGGGGGATGAGACGGCCGCCGAACTGGTAGCGGGTCACCTCTAGATTGCCCTGGGGGAGGGGACCCATGTAAGTGGCGTAGTGGTCGCGGTACGAGAGCTCACTGTACGCGACCGCCAGGGTAATGCCAATCTCCCCCAGCGCCTTGGTGAACGGGGCAAGCACGACATCGCGGACGTGGGCGGCAGTCGAGTTCCAGACGGTCAGAGGACGGAGGGCCAGGAACTGGGAATTGTGGAGGAAGACGGCCATGGCGCCGTTGTCAGTCATGGCGGGCAGCAGCTCGTGGAACTTGGAGACGGCGGCGCTGAACTTCTCGGGCGTGGTGCTCGCGGCAAGGAGCTGGAAGGCCGCACCGCCAACGGTCTCTTCCGGGTGGGCGCGGACAGTGACAGCGGTGACGACGCCGAAGGTTCCGCCGCCACCGCCGCTGAGGGCCCAGTACAGATCTGCGTTCTGCGAGGGAGACGCAACGACGGTCTCGCCATCCGCGGTGACGACGTCGAACGCAAGCGTCTGGTCGGCGGCGAGACCGAACTCGGTGGATAGAGCGCTGTGGCCTCCGCCCTGGATGAATCCGCCAGCGAGACCGACGGTGGCACACTCGCCAGAGACAACTGCAAGTCCCTCGGCGTGCGCCGCCTCGAGCACCTCGTATCCGAGGACACCAGCACCAACTTTGACGGCGGGGCCGGAGTAATACTCGTCAGACCAGGTGGTGAAGTCCATCGACTTCAGGTGGTTGGTCCAGATGGCCAGGGCACCAGCGCCAGTGGATCGACCAAGGAAGCTACAGAACCCGAAAGTCAGCCACTGTCTCGGAGAAGCAAGTATTATACGGCTTCAGCCGTCAGTGATCAGTCACTTACTCATGGCCGGTGTTACGAAAAACGACACGGATGTTGTTGGCCTTGGCAAACTTGAGAGCGTTGCTCACATCTGCCGCGCTTTGGACATCGACAGCATAGCTGACATAGTTGCCAAGGGTACAAGGGACGGCTCTATCAGTGAAGGGGTCGCAGGACTGGTTGGCAAAGTACGTCTGCATCACAGACGAGGAAGATGGGATGCTAGTGCAAAACAAGGTTAGGACTTCGTCAGTTGCGTGTGGTGGGAGCGGGAGACGAACTGGGTCAAGGGGTTCGACCAGGATGACTGCAACGCCTCGCAGGCGGCGGCGTCGTAGGTGGGATCATGGCATGGCGAGCCAATGGGGGCGGTCGCGACCAGACGTCCACTGACGGTGGCGTTCAGCCCATCCCAAGAGGCAGTCGACGGCCAGCACGCATCACCAGGCAAGCAGCGACACTGTTGCGTGGGGGCGACGGCGGCCGAGGTGAGTGTAACCAAGGCGGTGGCTACGGCCAGATAAGAGATCCTCATGTTAATGGCTTGAGTTGGACAAACAACCAAAGGAGGTAAGAGAATGGAGGGTGACAAGTCAAGTGCGAGCAACAAGAAGTGTGACCGCCAGTGCAACTCATATATTCCTCGCATCAGTTGACCTTGCTCCTGCGTCGTCGCCACTATCCGAGCAGTTGGCGAGCTCTACCTCGGTCGCAACGAAACCATCTCCACCCCTTTTGCCTGTTCGTCCACTGAATACCACGCGAGATGATATCAAGGAATAGCAATCGGATGCTCCCCGACACTACATGATCGATAGACTGCGGGCGAGATACCTCGAACTGGATCGAGTGCACGGCCACACTGCGGGATCCTTGTCCAACGACACCCAGTTATCGCAGCATAGTCGGGGAGCTGCCTATTATGGGTAGGGCTACATGCGATTGCCACATATTCTCGCATGGGTTGATCAAAGACACGATACGCTAACGTTGTGCATACGACGCCCCGGAGGCGACCGGGAAAGTCAATCGGTGGCCCCCGGCGGGCCGGAGTCTATAAACCCTTGCGCGGGGAGGGACATTGCCTCCCGTCCGGGTACCGATCTCCTTCCCCATTCCATCCACCTCACTGCGCACAGCCCCAAAGCTGCTGGGAATTGATTGGGGTCATGGAGAACGGTTGAGACTGATTCAACTACAAGTGGACTCCTTGGCTCAGGGGGACTATATCAAGTTATCGATTGCGTGTAATCGGTCTGCTGCACGTCCGAGCACCTGTCAGTCTACGTCCCACAACGATGGTTGCAGCGACAGGCCTTTTCTTTGCAGCATACAGAGTAATAGTCTGCCCCGTTTCCAGCTTAGCACCACCAGTGAGCGATGTGGATGCCACGTGCCCTAGAGCGTTCTCAAAAGACTAGTCTCGAATGGAACCAATCTGCGAGATTCTATGGTCCTAATTTCCGGGAATCCGGACTTATGCGGGTGCTGTAGCCTGTGCCACCGCTCCGCCTTTCCTGCGCTTATGCTGCAGGGGCTCTTGGCTACACAGTAGATCGGAGCTGGTTCCAGTTCGGGCCGCCAAGGAGCATGCCGTCGACTATCATCGGCTATTTCCCCGTGTGGGCTGTCGATGAGAGCCCTGCTAGTCCGGTTGAAGCGCTGATAGAGCCCCTGTTCGGGGGTTCTCATGAGAGTGTCACCGTCCACCAGAGGTGCGTAATCTGAGGGGATGGCGTCTCATCGGCCCAAGCAAGGGATGAACTAGTGTCGTGCCCTAGAATTCTTTACGATGATGGCGACAATCACCGAGGGCTGGACCTGAATGGGCTGCCACATAGAGGATCGGGAATGGGCTGGCTGCCACATGGAGGATCGGAAATATCTGCAAGCAAGAACGCCATCGATTTCATTTATGAAGGGATGTTCATCCGGATCCATGGGGATCCCCCCCCCCCCCCCTCTCGAGATTGAAGCACCTACCAACCAAACATGGCCTCCTTTCTTCGTCTCGTGTTAGCCATGGCCCTTGGCGTTCTCGCCGTACAGGCGCAGCAAACAGCCTCCAACAGCAACAAGCCTAGTTATCCGGCCTGTGCCGTGAGTTATCCCTTATTATTGCTTTTTCTTACGTCTTCAGCGCTGGAGTTTTCCGCACAGGAACCTATGCAGATCAGAAGCTACGGGAAACTAGCGAGTTTAACTAATGGCGTACTCATCTCTCCCAGACGAAATGCATCGCCAGCGCTTTCCGCGGTGGCCTCTGTGCTCCCACGAACCAGACTTGCATCTGTACCGATGAGCAATTTCAGCTCAACGTTACTCTTTGCGTGTCAGCTACCTGCACTATAACCGAATCTCTTGGTAGGTCTTCTGCGCCTCTTATAACGACGAGGAGCTTCGACGTCTAATCACAAACAAACACGCAGCTACCAAGAATGCCAGTCTTACGAACTGCGGTGCCCCCGTGCGCAACCGGGCTGAGGGATACGTGGTCTTGTCCATCATCATGGCTGTCATGGCGGCAATCTGCGTCTCGGGTCGTTTCGCGTACAAAATCTTCTTCGCCGGCCTCGACATCGGCTGGGATGACTGGTTCGTCCTGGCGACGCTGATCGCCGCCATGCCGAGCATCATCATCACCGTCCACGGCACGACCGCCAACGGCCTGGGCAGGGACATCTGGACGCTTCATCCGCAGCAGATCACCAACGTGCTCTTCTACTTCTACCTTATGGCGTGGCTGTACTTCCTGCAGGCCGCTCTGGTGAAGCTCGCCATCATCTTCTTTTACATGCGCATCTTCCCGGCTCGAGAAGTGCAGCGCATTCTCTGGGGAACGGCCATCTTTATCATTGCATGGGGTTTGGCTTTCGTCCTCACCGCTGTTTTCCAATGCAAACCGATCCATTACTTCTGGACTAAGTGGGATGGGCTGCACGAAGGCAGTTGCGCGGATGCCAATGCCGTCAGTTGGTCGAATGCCTCAATCAGCATTGCCTTGGATCTTTGGATGCTGGCGATTCCGCTCTGGCAATTGAGGTCTCTAAAGCTCCATTGGAAGAAGAAAGTCGGCGTGGTGCTAATGTTTGTCATTGGCACATTGTGAGTTCATCTGTCTTCCAACACCGGCCGAGTGTCAGCTAACGCTCGACAAGTATGACTGTCGTGAGCATTATTCGCCTGCAATCACTTGTTGATTTTGCAAAGGGACACAATGCCACAATGGATTTCTTGGACGTCAGTGTATGGAGCACGATTGAAGTATCCGTGGGCATCATGTGCGCATGCCTGCCCTCTATGCGAATGATCCTCGTGAAGATGTTCCCATCCATGTCTGGATCGACGCTCCGGAGCAAGGGAAGACAGTACTACAAGCAGTACGGCAGTGACAACAGGTCAAGAACAGTGGAAAGCCATCCACGCACCATCGGCGTCGTCTCGGTAAACAGGAACGACCCAGCCCCGGAAGGCGGAGACCGGCAAATCAAGTTCCAGAAAACCTTCCTTGTCTCTTACAGCGACAGTGATGAAACGGATCTTGTGCCAATGAAAGATATCCAGAGGCCAGGGAGAGCGCACCATTAAGGGGTTTGCAGACATATTATGAGATATATGAGTAGCTATCACGTATAGAACGATTTGAAATTTCATTTCTTTTGTCAATAAAAAACATGTTAGATATATTCAACGCACATTCTCTAGAGATTGCAATGTACGTAAATAATCTGGACTAGGTGTTGTTCAACGTAGCACAATTGCATCACGGTATTCCTGTCGCATCAACCGCTCTGTTCAAAAAGTTGTTTTTATCTGTAACCGACCAGTGTATCCAACACATAGCTGATCTTGGAGGAGTGCTTGGGAAGTTGGTTGTATGTTGTCTTCTGGATTATAAGCCCAATACTCCTGTGCATTCCGCGTAACTAAGATATCATCTACATAAGTAATCCTTTAGTTATTCACGGGCCACAAGTGGCTTTGCAGGGTTTTCAACTCAATGCCTCGGGGTATCATTAGTTATGTATTATGTATGCACATTGCATGAACAATGCATCTGCTGCTGGCTTGTGCGTCTTCTGTATGCCTCTGATTAGGGTGTCGAACACTGAAAGCCGGAAAGAAATCATTCAACCCTGCCCCTTTTCAGTGAACTGATGCAGAGGTGCCTCCTTTCCGGACCATAAACGAGCCATATAGTGAAGGTTCAGACAACGCACGTACAACGAGTCTTACTGAAGGTGGTCAATATGACCCGTTCTTGCCCGCCAATTTCTGTCCACAGCGTTCTAGAAACTTTGAATCTGGGTTCTGCTGGGAATGGAGTGTTTCATGATACATTGAGGATGAGATTCCTCGATTCGAGGTGTATATCGGACTTGGCTTGATTTCGATGACAGAAGGAATGGCTACTTTGAGATGATATCCCACAATGAGATTGAAATGCCGCTCAGCCACTTCGCGATTCGTTTGCACCTTCTCCAGATCCTGTTTCAGAGCCTTATTCAATCCAGATAAATATCTCCTGTTGTTGTAAGGACTATAGATGGGTTGATGCATCAACAAGACGTGGTTGTAAAAGGCATTAATTCTCTAAGTCTAGTGGTCTAGCTGGCTGGAAACGTAGCCAGTTATATCGAGCTTCTGGCAACTAACTCATGCGTACGAATATGGTCGGATTAGTGTTCTAACACCTGTACTAATTATCCGAGGATTTCAGTATTTTCTGTTCATTTGTTCCAGAAATTCGTCTGGCGTGATTCTTTTATGATTACCCACAGCTCTGACGTATAGCCGTATACACTGACAAGTGAGAGGGCTGTCTCAGAAGACGGTTTGTCATCTCCTAGAGAATTCAAAGGACTTACAGGTACCTGAAGAGACATGGGAGTTAGCTGTATAATAGGGGAGAAAGAAGGAGGGGATAGTGGACTTGAATCACCTCCTGACCCTCTTCCAGGCTCAGAGCAGCCCTTAAACATACATATACCTCTCTAGGTAGTTAATTGTCTTATCCGCCGGTTTCTTCTTCTGGTCCAGCATCCCGTTGGTCTGTGACTCTTCAGATTCTCGATGTATTCATTATAGTAGATAGGAGTTCAAAGACGCTATAGCACTGAATATGCGGGATAATCAGATATATCAGCGGTTTCCTATTGCTGTTTCTTTTTGTCCATGTTTTATTTTAGGCAAAACTCACCCAAAGAAATTTTCACCAGCTATAGCGTCAACTATGAGTTCTACATGTAACACTTAGGAGGGAATGTACACAGAAGGGCCGTCATTATTTCAGTTCTCGAAGCGTGTTAAAATACATCTATTGTTGTTTGAATGTAGCCTGTCAAGTTTCCTTACACGTGCTCTGCGTGAGTTGCGTTTTGTTTCTCCCCATCGTGGACATTGTGAATACGCTCAGCCAGCGCCACAGCATTCCTAGGCAAATTCTTCTCGACTTTCACTGGATCCCAGATACTCTTTGACTGAATAAAGATGTCATCGATCTCCTCCAAAGTACGACCCTTGGTCTCTGGGTAAAAGAAGAATAGAACTACGAAAGTAAAGAGAGTGATGCAAGAATAGACAATGTAGTATCTGTAACCAATGTTTTCCATGGCATGAGGGGACACTTCAGCAACAAGGAAGTTGAATAACCAGTTGGCGCAGGCACTGATGGCGGTGACCTGGGCACGAATATTTAGAGGCGCTATCTCAGCAGCATACATAAAAGGCAGAAGGAAAAGACCGACGGGGAAGAAAAACATGGCAACGAAGTAGAAGAAGATGGCGGCTTCAGCAGCAGACTTGTCGGCCCGATCGGACATAAGACCTGCAAGTGAAGTCTGAGCAACGCACATGCCCAAAGCACCAGCCATGAGCAGCTTTCGACGACCAAACTTGTCAATGAGTACAAGAGCAAACCCGGCAGAAATGAACTGCCAGACCTGTATGCACGCAGAAAAGATGCGAGATTCGGTAGGCGAGTAGTTGAGTTGCTGCTCGAAAATGGTTGTGGAATAGAAGGTGACAATGTTTATGCCAGACATCTGAGCAAGAACGGCGAGACCAACAGCGAGTGCGGCACGGTGAAATTGGCGCTCAGGTCCCATAGCAAATACGGATCCAGCCTGGTGCTGCTCCTCTACGTAAGCGTCGCGGATGAGGGAAAGCTCCTCGTTGATGACCTCGGAGTCTTCCGGGAGGCCCTCGAGAGCAGCCATGACCTTCTTCGCATCCTCAAAGCGCCCCTGTTTGATGAGCCAACGAGGGGACTCGGGTAGTAACATGACGAGAGAGGTGATGATGATGGCGAATAAGCCCTGGAAGGCGATGGGAAAGCGAAAGTTCACTTGGTTGTTTTCGACGAAGTAGAGGCCGAACTCCATCCACGAGGCAACCACAATGCCCCCAATGGCGAAGAAGCCCTGCAGAAGCACACGGCGACCACGTTCTTTAGCACTAGAGCACTCGGACACCCACATAGGGACGGTAGCAGTAAAGGCACCGACCCCGAGACCTGTGGCGGAGAGAGGGAAGATCCGCCAGTCAGCAAGGTTTGCACTTGCGAGGTTGCCCATACAGCAGATCAGGAACTAGGAGCTGACAAACCTGTGATGATTCTGGAAGCAATGAGCTGGCCGAGAGAGAACGAGCTGCTCTGTATCACGACACCAATAATGACGATGCATCCGGCAATGAAGATGGTGCGACGACGACCGATAACGTCACCAATGAAAGCGCAAGACAGCGCTCCAATCGCGCACCCAACTTCGTAAATGGCCACGGCAGTACCTGGAAGAGAAGCAAAACACTCGATTAGCCGCCATTATGTCGCAAAGGGATCCAGAAGCAAAGCTGAAAAAGACAACAAATGCGTGCGTACCCTCAATATCGGCGTTCTTCAACTGGGGAAACTGGTGTCTGAAGGTATCCAGGGTCAGTAGACCGTTCATGACGGCTTGGTCGTAGCCCTGGAGAGCGAAGGCCGTGGCTGCGACTATACTCAGTGTGATACTGAGGGACTTTCCCCGAAGGCCAAAGTACGACATGGTGGGCTGATTCTGCACAGTCTGGGCGGAAACTCGTCTTTGCCAGCATAAGTTTACTCGAGAAGAGAAGGTGGAAAGGAACAAGCGGCGAGAGTCAATTAAATGGTCCCGGCAAGGAAGAAGGTGAAAAAAGTAAGTCTCTTCTCTCTTTTCCTTGTCCCTTATTTGGAGTAGCTCACACGAAGACCAGAACGCGGGCGGAGGGTAACATCATTATATATCTATACTTCGCCCCAGCTCTACGGAGAATCCAGAGAACCAAACTTGTTTTTCCGTGTTGGCGCGCTGCGTGGTCTGCATGACCTCCGGTTAACACGGCACGGTAGACAACGCAGATCCATCGGTATTTCCCGGACCTAACAAGAAAAGGAGGTACTCCTATTCGATCCCCCATCTTTCCCCGCTAGCCACTACCGCTTCATATCATTTATACCCCGGATTACTCCCGCCTTATACGCTATCTAGTACAGAACCCATCCCCTGGCAAATAGTTACTTTGGGGTGGTACCCAATAGTGCTCTAGAAGCAACTCATTGAGCAGTACTTCTCTGGCCGTATAGCCATGGAACTCGCTTTAAAATATGAGTATTGATAATCTCCGGTGTACAGTTATATAGCAAGATTGCTCAGACCAGTCACTCTATATCAAAGTACCAGACGTACTGTGGGTCACAGCCTATGCGTGAAGCGCATTTGGTACCCTAGCGGTGAGGAAGAGAGAAAAGGTTCACTTTGCGTGTTGCTGGACGAAACATGCAGGTCTATCTTCTAACTCTTCTACCTGCGAAACATCTCGACAATGCACCGAGGAAAGACTAGTAGAGAGGAGGTGAAAGTGAAATAGCAACACGCAACCCGTGGGAGGTTCCGTACGGATGAGATTGAGGCAGAGCATACTTAATTGAGATTCGGGGACGAACAAATTGGTGAACACTAGATTGGGGCACCGTACACAGTAGCCAGAAGCGTCCATGAAGCGGAGAACTTGGAAGTTGTCGGAGACAGGTCTGTCTCAGAGCACACAAGCGTATGTGGCTTCGCTGGAAGCCGCTGCACATAAGTCAAAGCACCCGCTTTCCGATCACCCCCACTTGGCGATCACCTATTTCCCACCAAAATACACTAAAATACACCAAAACTACTCCTTTTTACTATAGCTATAACAGTATAACCTTAGCTTCTCTAATTCTATAAAAATTCCTATAGTTAGTTAAATACTTACTTTTATTATACTAGGTTTTTTTACTTTATTCTTATTAGTATAACTTAAGATATAAGGTTTTATATAAAGATATACTAAAATACTAGTAAATTATTATTAGCTATAACTTAGTATTTACTAGTAGTATAAGCTTAAAACTTTATAAATAGCTATATTATCTACTATATTAAGTAGTTATATTTTTTATATAAAATATATAGTCTTATATAAGCTTATATAAGTAAGTTAAAATTTCTCTAAGAAAAGTTTCTTAGTAAATTTTATATTTAAGTATATACTATAGTATAACTAGTATAGTCTATAGTATAAGCTAGTAAATATATACTTTATACTATAAAGTAACTATATAAAATATTATAGGTTTTTTTACTTTATAATTCTAAAGTTATATAGATTTTTATACTGTTAAGGAATACTAGTAAAATATACTAAAACCTTAACATTTTTACTACTTTAGCTTTAAGTAGCTAATACTTTACCTATACTTAGTAAAAAAATTATATAACTAGTATATAAACGTTTTATATAATTATCTATATATAATAATTTTCTTAGAATTATTAAGACTAGGGTTATATAGTTAAAGCTATAGTAAAAAAGAGCAGTTTTGGTGTAAATAGGTGATCGCAAAGTGGGGGTGATTGGAAAGCGGGTGCTTTGACTTACCTCGCCTCGTAAGCGCAAGTCATCCAGAGTACAGGCCTTGGCCACCTATCTCAACAATGTGTCAGCCAGGGCAAACACAGAGGTGCTTTCAAGTACTCTGAGCACTATCGTCCTGCCAGTGGAGGAGACCAAATCTCATCGTACAACGCACCATAGGCCAATGACCGACTGCAACGTTCAACAAGCTCGTCAATGCCGACAAAACGACTGCTCCTTGGATATTGGGTTTCATGATCACAATTGGACGAGAGAAGCTAACTTGATGGGAGCCAAATTTTAAGTGCGTCTAACCTCCCCATTTGCCCCTCTGATGAAATAGACTGAATAACCCGGCAAGACTTTTACCCACCCTCCATCCTTGGGCATGCCGAACCAAACGCCCCCTTCGCATTTCTTTTGGTATGCACGGTCGCAATTGCTCCAATGGATTGTTTGGCCAGCGCCCTTAATTTCATCAGTGCTTTCTTCCTTACTGGCTGCATTGAAAGCTTCCTGGTCGAACGGGTGTGCTTCCTGCTACTTGTTAGTTGCGTCGCGTCTGGCTCCCTGATCGATAAGCACTTCTACCATTGCTAGTAATTTCTCTTGAGGCGGAGTGCGAGTTCGCTGGACATGAGTACGTCAGAGCTTCTGCAAATTTATTTGCACTGCTGAAAGTCGGGTTTTCATAGTCGGATCTCCATATAAAATCTAACTTGTTCCAGGTGACATTGCACGTGACCAAGTTTGATAATATTTCGAGATACAAGACGAAAGTAATCCCGCTCCATTGCAATACTGCGAAACATTATCAAGATCCCGTTATAAACTCAACTGCTCTTCGTCCCATTCTTAGTATGTGTGCTTCTGGTACCACTCCGTCTTTTCTCCATATTTGCCCATTATCTCCCAAGGGCTTTCGCCCATTTCTTTCTTCAATGACAAGAATGCTGCGTACCATTGACTCGTTTCAATTGCAGAAGATATCGCACTTCTTCATCTTTCGGCTGCCGTGTAAGCTTAAACGTACACCAACCTGCAAACGCTATGTTAAGTAGGAAACGCAAAGTGCTACACGTTATGCACGCCGCAGACTTGGCGACTTGGACTGCTGACTGACGTCGGATATTACGAGCCGGTCAAGAGGAAGCTATACAGCGTGAGGTTGACCGATACATAATAATCGAGGGTCTGCCCCCGAAAAACAAGCCGCTTCAAGAATTAGTAAAATATGGAGCATTGGTATGATCAGTCATCGTCTTTTGTGAGACTTGTTGAGGCCAGTCAGTTTGAACGCGTGGCCAAGTCTCCGAAAAAAACTGTGATCAACGGCCATTACACCTATAGCTTGAGGCAACAACATTGCGTCCCTCCACGGACAGATCTTGAGAGTGGCATGGTATCTGGGCATTGTTAGCACAAACAGTGGCAACAACTGTCCTAATATGGAAAGGTAGTAGGACGGTACGGTACCTTACGGTGGAGACTTCAGACGATACATATTTTATATTAGACTCCACCAAAGGAAAGGGTTAAAAGCTTAGTATTAAGCATCTTTGCACTACATATAATGGATCCAAGCTCAAACAGTAATGGAGCGTGCAACACTGGTTGTACTTGATTTCCGATGACTCCCCGTGGCTCTGTGGTATTAAGCACTGAATATAACTTGAACCTCGAAGTTGATTTTCACACTGCCCTTGCCGGGAGGAAAGAATCAAAGAAATATGGCGCTTCGAGTCTTACATATACATGTACCGTCGGTGGACGCTAGTAGTTCATTTAGGGAAGGTGCTAGACCATCGGCAAGGTGTTAAGGCCACTGCAGTTTAGCCCGTTGAAGCTAGTGGATTGTCTAGATCATCCAAGAGACTGTAGCTTAGGGGGGTTTTGGTCTTGATTCAAGGCTGGACTGATGGTTTCGAGAGACGCAAGATATGATGTTTAAGCTGATAGCTGGGGCTTCGTTCTCATAGTCAGCAGCGATCGCCGATGATGATGTCTGACAGAATTTTCTGCGAGGCTGATTGCCTCCTGTACGGTTTCGGAACAGCGACATATTATACTCGGCGCTGCCAAGATATATCAGATGGGAGACAACAATCGTAGACCATAACGTAAGTCACATATTACACAAAGAGAAGGAAAATAAACCAGGCCACCTAGTGTGATACGGATAACCCTTTCAGTAACGGAATTCGACACATTGCCCCCAACGGGTAAGTAACAGCTTGACCTTTATTCGACAGAGCGTGAACTAAGGGCGGAAACCACTAGAAACGTACCTGCATATTATACCGCTAACAGATTCTCTGGATCTACTATATGTTATGTGTCCAAGTGACATGCTCATCTCGCCCACCCGGCCTTGAGGCGGTGGGTGATTTGTCTGTACCCGAATAGTTTAGTGGAAATATATTAGAGAAAATCAGACTTTGGGGGTAGGAGAAGAGATCGGAATTTAAGAGGGTGTGGCAAAACACGTTGCCTTAGTACCTCCCTCGGATTAAGGATAAACATGCCTAGACAGGCATATTCGAACCCGTATTGTCACTGGTATCACAGCCACAGACATATGCTTTATCGTCATTCGGATTCCCATGATTCATGAGTATAATGGTGTGTATAACTAATGTACCATGCGGCATGTTTTGGATGCTTTCTGTCCGGGGCAGATCATCTTGCTGGGTGAGTTTTCTACAGCTTTGTTTTAGTGCATTGGCATGCTGCAACGTTGGGAGGCTCATGTAGGTACTCAGGCTCGGCCTGGCTGCTTCTCTATACATGTTTGTGCTGACGGCGCACCATACCGGATGGGGACGACGAACATAAGATAAGAAGGACAGCCAAGCCTGCCTTGTGGGCTACGTATTGGAGGTGTTACGGCCAATCTTTTGTGTTTCCCAGGCCCCCCTCCTTTTCATTGCTGGGAAAACGGGTAGCTTGTCCTTGGCGTCCCTCTGAAGGGGGCCCAGCTGCAACCCAAACCACAGGAACGAGCCTCACGGTACCGAAACCCCGGTAGGAGTCTGCTTCCTGCGACGCAGTGAGATACAGGGTGTATGAACCCCCGGCGCCAACGATGCGGATAAGAACGCACGGGGTCGTGCAGAAGACTCCCAGAAACAGAAAAACTGCGTAGCAGCGAGCGTGACGCGAGGCCAAGTATAGAGACGAACAATGCAGACAATGGGATATCGAGCTGCGGCGATTTGGGGATGCGATTGGTGACACCCAGATTGTTGCACGCGACACAAAGACCGTCGCACGTTGACGAGAAACCGCATGCGCCACTGCTGCCGCCCCCCTTCCTCAGCCGCACATAAACACTCAAGGTGCTACTCCCACCAACAAACACATGGACCACGGCATGAGCCATTTAGCATGGGCATCTGTGCAGCCTTGCCAACGTAAGAATACCACCGAGATCAACCCAGCGCCGGGTTCGTTTCCAAAGAACCGCGGAACAAACGACGATGGATGCTGGCTCAAGCCCGGCAGCCCATCAGGCCCAGGGTCCAGGAATAGCCTCGTGCGCTGCTAGCCGCTTCGCGACATGGCAGGTTTCATACGACGCGGCACAGTTTTCTTTCTACAGCCAGTCGGTGTTCTGAATAGCGTTGGCTCCCCCCTGTAGACGAGTCAGACCGAACCAACTCGACAACCACGCCGACTCGACGACAAGTTACTTTTTTCGATGTCGGGGACGGCTGCAGCGACGACGAGAAGCGCCGACCGCTCAACGGTGCGGGCATTTCGCGTGATGGGAAGACGCGCCGTTGCAGACCTTTTTGCTGTCCGAGGTGGCGCACGAATCGGAGCGCGATGCAAGAAGGACGCATGACCCCCGCCCTCCTCTTTCTCTCTCTCTCTCTTTCTCTTTCTCACTCATTCCCCGGATGCGAAATGAAACGAAACTAGAGCGAGCCTATCTGGTGAAGAGTGAAGACTGCAGGTGCCCGTGACTAGTGCGGTGTCCTGTTCTTGCCGCCGCCCGTCCAGACCGTCGGGAAGCATCCAACTAGAAAAAGGGAGAAAAAACACAATGGTGCACCAAGTAATTACGCTAACCTATCCACGGCCGGCGGAAAGGAGCCAATGGTGGAGTTCTCACCGCGCTTTAGCCTAAAGATGACCACAATTGGCCAGCGACAACGGTTGGTCGCCGTCGAAGTTGCGCGTTGGTCCGCGTGCAGGCACACGCATGCAAGGGCAATGCTATCAATTAACGATATCCTTGAAACAAGATTGCTGACCTCGGGGCGGCGGTAGCGGGTAGAAACTCGGGTTCGGTGGTCGGCCTAGTGCTCACCGAGATGCGGATGGGGAAAGCAGGCTAGATTGGCAAATTTACGCCTCTTTTGTTTTTTCTTTTCGTGTTTATTCTCTTCAATCGGGGACGACTCGGCCGGATCCATCAAGGAGAGAAAGACCTGAGTATCCGTAAAACACCCGAATACCACGTGCCTAGGTCCAATAATGATTGCAGGTCACATTACCATCGTGCAAAGCACATGTGAACCATTTCAAGCCATGACAAGCTGGCCCCCCGGTCCCAGCCCATTGCAACTCCGTGCAAAGTAATGGTGAGCTTACGTAGTATTAGGCCCGAAATTACGAATACATCCCGACCCTTGCACATTGGAACATATATCATCTCCTCCTATTGGAGCGCGTCCACGTGCAGGTGCAGGAGGATTCTCTGCCGGGCTCGCTCCATTGGGGCCCGATATCCGACGCTAACGAGGAACGGAGGCGGGGTTACTCTGGGGTTTTACGGGGAGTTGTGGAGCGCCTTTGCGGGGGGCGGGCGGGGAAGAGGATTGGGGGAGGATGGGGTTAGCGGGGAAACACAGTTGTACGGCACAGCTATGCATGGGTTCACCCCAAGCTGGGGCAGGATTCACATCCCAGTTCCTGTCGTCCGTTTGTTTCCATGTGTAGTGGTTGCATTGGGTTGGAGACAGAGAGGGACGGAGAGGGACAAAGAGAGACAGAGAGGGACGGACAGAGAGAGGAGGGGGGGGGGGGGGGGGGGGAGAGTCAGAGACGAGACTGGATAAGCGAGAAAGACAAGACTTTTAATAACATGCAGCCCAGCTCCAGCTCCGTTTTTTTTTTCTGCGTCCTTATCTTCTCTCTGTGTCCTCCTCCTTCACTTCATCCTTCATTCCATCCCTCTCTCTCCCCCTCCCTCTCCCCCCCCCCCATCTCCCCGAGGTTCAGCAAACATGAGCAACCAGACCGACTCCAAGCCGCCCGGCGAAGACCCCACAAAGGTCGAGTCCTACACCGCCGACGTCAACCATGTCTCCGAGGTCGACGAGAAGGCCAAGGCCGCCGACTTCAAGGCCGACGCCATCGAGGCCGAGCAGGCCGAGCAAAACATGGGAGTCCTCGAGGCCGTCAAGCTCTACCCCATGGCCTCCCTCTGGGCCTTCACCATGTCCACCACCATTGTAAGCTTGCTTCCGACCCCCCCGCCCCCAACCACTTCTCCACCGAGTTGCCGCTGACAAGCATGCGACGCCTACCAGATCATGGAGTCGTACTGCGTCTTCCTCATGGGCGCCTTCGTCGCCATGGACCAGTTCAAGGAAGAGTTTGGTGTCCTCGACAGGGAAGGCAAATATCAAATCGAGGCCTCGTGGCAGTCCGCCCTCCAGGTCGGCGGCCCCCTCGGCGCCATCATCGGCGT